AAAAGTCATCGTCGTATTTATCTTGCAAAATTTCAGCCTGCTTGTGTAACTCTGTGTCAGTAGCAGTGGTCAACAGCATTTTGAAAACCAGATAGTCGATTTTTTTTAATTTTTAAAATATTTCTTTCGCTGTAAACTTTGTATCGGTGGCAAGTTCATCAAAAAATTTTGTGGAGATTTTTTGTCGCTTTTTAATAAAAATAGCTTCAATACCCCAATTTACTGCTAAATCCGAAGATTCACATCAAATTTCATTGTACTTGTGAAGCAGTTTACAAAGTTCTTCGTAAGCATTTTTAAATAAATTGGAAGCCTGCCCAATATTAGACTTTTTACTTTAAAGAGTTTTTGAAACTATATTTATAATATGAAGAATTTTTGAAAACAATGCATTAAGAAATAAAAATTTAAAATTTTTTTAAAAGTCCGATTGCTTCGGATTTTTCTTCGCTATTTTTATAGGGTTTTAAAATATCTTTAAAATTAAATCGCACTGCGTCCAATGCAGTGCGTTTTAAATTGGGGCCGTTCATTAATTACGTGAGACAATTTTGGCAATTTTTCGACCCCCCCTCCCCTTGGTGAGATGTCGTGAGATTTTGCTCGACCCCCCCCCCCCCCTTAATCTCACGTGAGATTTTTTAAAATGCATGGTTTTAATGTAAATAAATTAATCTGTGCTTTATTCCATTAGATTTATTAAAAAAACAATTTGCTTATAATTGTTTACTTAATTTAACCCAGTTTTCTGGCAATTTTAAACTCTTTCTTTCGGAAAAAAAAATTACGTGATATTTGCCGAGACCCCCCTCCCCCCACGTGAGATTTGGTGAGGTTTGGCTCGACCCCCTCCCCCCCCTAAACACCTCACGTAATTAATGAACGGCCCCTTTTAAAGATATTTTAAAAGCCCTATAAAAATGAATCATTCCTAAAAGACCATCTAGTAGGATTCAATCTTTTTAATCTAATTTTACTTACTGGGGATTCTTTAAGTAACTCACACCGTTTAACACTATTTGAACAAAAAAATATATAGGCATCCAACAATTTCTAAAAAAAAATTGCCTTTGGGACTCCATAATGATTGACAGCATCATTTATAACTAAATTTAAGTTCTGAGCGGCACAGTGACTGTATTGAGCATTTTTTTTCTAACACAACAATTTTAGATTGCAAGCCGTTATAAGCACCGCTCATAACAGCAGCACCGTCGCGACGCGTCGTAGCCCTGTCCTCTACAATTTTTAAAAGAGATGTTTCTTTCTTGTAAGAAATTAGTAATATTTTTTAAACCTTCAGCGCTTTAATCATGTGATATGGGGTAAAACCCAGTAAACGATTCTTTACATTTAACCTGCATGACTTCGTTATTTTCAATTTTATGAAAAACAACACTCAACTGTTCAATTTTGCATATATCTTTAGTAGTACCTATCTAAAATTATTGTATAAAATGGGGCTGCGCGAATATCGTCAAAGATTTTATTTTCTTCCTCGGTTGCCAACATATTAATAAACTCGATCGTTTTGTATTTTTGGACTCAATAATTTTGTGGAACCTTTTGAAGTTCCCATATAATGCTATCATAACGCGATAATAGGTGTATTATACCTAGAAAATTACCCCGTTTCGAGTCATCATTATCGGGTTCAGAATGCCCTCTATGGGTACTAAAATAATAAGATTGGGAAGGCGCCTATTATAACTTGGCGCCGAGTGGCACTGCCACCCCTGTCACCTCGGTAGTTACGCCACTGCAACACAAACTTATTAATACGGCGAGTTTCATAAGAGTGATCTAATACAGGTAAGGTGTTTTTTACTTTGAAATAATTTTGACCTAAATTAAAACAATATTATTTTCTTATACTTAGTGTCTGTGCTTCACTAAAAAGTAATTTAGATGGATACATTATAAATCTTTACCAAGCATTATTTTTAGGATTATTTTTTGTGACTGTTTGAGTGGAAGCAAATGGACATCTAAGACACCTCCCCATGCAATGAACCACGAATGTGAAACTGTTGTTGTATGAAAAAAAATATCTCGACTATGCAGTTTTTAAAAGTTATGAGCAACATTATTTTAAAATACCTACTTACTTTTAAAAAATTCATACAAACATTTTTAGTGGGGCCGCGGCCGGCCGGGTTAAAAAGTGGTCGATTTGGAGTGGAATGTATAAAGCTATATTATATTATAATAGGTATTATAGTAGATTATCTAACAGGCGGAGAAATCGCTTATTAAAGCAGATCTGATCGAGGCAGTTAATATGCTTTCTCCCGGATGAATTCTCTGCCGTGTTGTATATACTATTTTTAAGCGTTTAATAATTCTGTACATACTAGTCCTGGAGCATAAAGCAATACATTATTCTCCGTGGGATTTTTTATGAAGGGATGATGGGACTATAAGGAATAGCTTTTTTATACCTTTTTGAGTTGTGTGGTACCGGGTGTTTACCTTGAAAATATGTCTGGTGGGGTTTATGGCATTTCTAATCCAAAATTTCCGCCATTTTCGACATTCATTTATAAAAGCCAAATAATTAATTTTATTGTGCCCTTTGGAATAAATTACATTTGACAATTTTTGATTGTATCGAAACAATTGTATAATTTTATGGGCCGTCAAATTTGATGACCCATCAATTTTTTAAGCCTCTAGCAACAGTGACTTTTTTTAAATAAAACTGTTTTAGCAAATTTAAGTAGTTTCATTGGTTGCTTATAAATTAAGTGTGCCTTGACTTTATTAATTTATGTTTACATAGAACTGTCAAAAGTATTTTACGATTTTAATATATTAAGTAATATATTAAGAATACTTGCTGTTTTTCTTAATTTAAGGTATGTCTGTCGGTATTTGAAGTTGGTGGAACGCATTCGAAACAAAAAACTTTGGCGAGGTGTAGGTTCAATTTTTTCTTATATTCTTATGAATATTACCAGTGATGGGTCAAGAAAGTTTCTTAAAGAAACTAAGAAAATTGAATGTTTACCTGTATGTTTTTGTGTTTAAATTTGATTTTATATAGTATTTTATTGAATTTAAAAGCATTTTTAATTTCTAAATACTTAATTTTAACAGTTTTCTTTTAAAATATTTACTATTACCTATATAATTACCATTTCCTGTTAATTATAATTTATTACACTGTTTTACAAGGAAAAATAGAAACTTAATTTTAAATTTTTAGGGTGATTTTGGTGCGCTAAACACAAAAAACTTTTTTATTATTTTTTCTTATTTGGGCCCTAAATGACGGTATATTTTTGTTTTTTAATTTAAGATTTTTGTTTTTTAATTTAAGATTTTACTTAAATCAGCATCGAGAGGGTATGGCAAATCCGATATATAAAGGTGGGTAAATCCGATATATAAAGGTGGTTAACCTTCGGATGACCAACCTCTTTTTTATACATGGATGACCAAGGGGGGTTAAAAATGACCCCTCCTGATTTTAGTAGACGAAAACATGTTTCATTATTTTAATGTTATATTTTATATTAAATAATGACAACAAACATTAGTACAACAAATTTGTATTCCAAATAAACCAAAAAAGTAAAAATATTAATCTAAACCTAATAAAGGAAGCAATGAAATTTGTAAAAAAATGCACTCGTAACCACAGGTATTACATATATATACTATAGTATGTTTTTTTTAATCTTCGAATGTTCCTTGCAGACAAAATGCATTTATCGCATTTCGTTGTAAACTTTCTGTCGGAAGATCGACAGCAAATTTTACATCGGCCACGTTTCTTGGGATTTTCAGCTGGCTCTGCATCTTCAGGATCTTCTGAATATTCTGTTAATACCATATTTATTTTAAAAATACTTTTCTTATGAGAAATATTTGTTAATTTTTTTAATTCAAAATATAAATATACTTGGCATAATAATATAGTCAAATAAAAAAATAATCAGTTAAAAATTAAAAATATTTAAGAGTTTATTCAAGAAAAATATACATTGGTGTCAAAATTGACCCCCCTTGGTCATCCGAAGGTTAAATTTCGCATCCAACGGTAAAAACATCGTTTTAATCGAATCAAAAATAGCTGAGTTACAGCTCATAAAAGTTAAAATTTCTTGCAAAATGGCTCCAAACTCTATAGAGAACGCTGTGCTCCAAATCGATCCATGCAAAATATATGTCAGTTTTAAAAGCCAATATTTTCTTAACCATTTGAGATAAAAAAAATGTTTTAAATACTGTTTTCCTTTTTTATGGTTATTTTAAGAAATTATATAATTTTTTTTAATAGGACCACTAATTACGAAATTATGCGACATTTTATAAACGCATACCTTAAATAACAGTTAGGTATCGGATTAATGACGTCATAAAAAATTGACACATTTTTAAACAAAACACCCGATAATACACTACTGCCTTGAGTATAAAAAACTGATTTCAGATAGTTTCATCTTCCCTTCACAAAAAATTCCACGGGATGCTCCAAAACTATACATTGAAATGCTGCATTTTGTCGCTAGATATATATCTATAATTTTGTCATAGGTTTGACGTTTGACATATGTACTATTATAGGTTATGTGTATGAATTTATTCTACAGTTACCTTTAATTTTTGGATATCTGCACTGATTTCGAGCTAAATGCATTACTCTATAGATAATTTTAATGCATTTTTATTATTGTACGGCGGTGTATAATAATTGAACTGCGTTAAAAATAAGGCTTATAATGTTATACTATGAAACATGTTACGCTTGAAAAAAAAATGCAAATTTTGAAATTTTTTTTAAGGATTTTTTTATTCTTTACTATGAAGCTAACCATTTTTGTGAGGTTATCGACATTAAAAATTGTGCCCACTAGTGTATTGTTCCTTGTATTTAAAAAAAAGATTTTTTTTGTAAAGTGTCCCATTGATTGCTAACTGTAAGCGACTTCTTAATGTTAAAAAAACACCTGAAAGATGCTCGATTGAACTGTCATAAAGGTAGGGATACTTACGGGAAACAATGGGGCTCCATTGACGCAGACACTTTCGGCAAACCTGACCCTAGACGGCTTGCTGCGGAGTCTCGCCCTTTTGCTGGCCGAAAGCAGGGTGGATTTGCGGGCGCCCTGCTGCTCGGGCGGCTGACAAACAATGAGACGCACGGTTTTCGGACAAGCTCGCACCAAAGATATTACGTGTTCCCTCGGAGCTTCTTTCACATCTTCTTCATTCACTGATAATATTTGGTCGCCGGGCAGCAACTGAAAATAATGTTTGTTATTAATTTTATTTGGATTCAGATTCAAGTTTTTTCTCAAGAAAATATTTTATTTCATTTTTTTTTTAATCACAATATATTATTTATAAATTAACATTTTTATGATACAATTATTTTAAAAGTAAAATAATAACTTTTTTAAATTGTGTTTTTTTCACTAGAAAACTACCTACTTAGTATTAAGTTAGTTTTTTATATTAAGCCCATTTTGTTTTATTTTATAGATTATTTCCCTCATTATAATATGAACCAATCAAAAGCCTTGAATTTTCGAATAAGTTTCGTTTAAATAAGCGATTAAATCACTATAACTATTTAACAGCGATTAAATTTTAGCCTCCATATTGGATTTTTGTTTACGATTTTATGGTGTTATTTACAAGTTTTAACAAACATTTTTTGTAAAACAATAAAAAATAAGTTATCTAGTTTACGAAATATCAATTATTACTTATTACATACCATAAATTAATGGAATTTTCTTTTAAAAAATATTTATAAATTTTGACACATACGTCAGATTTTATGAATTGTCAAATAGTTTCCTTTAATTCGAGAAATAATCTAGACGTATATCACTCAACCTTAGACCAGGGTCGATAATTTTTGAAACAAAAAAAAATAACAGTAGGATGAAACCCATTGGAAAAGGAGAAGAATATAATAAAAATGAAAGGAAAAATAAATTACCGGCGATCTGACTTCGGGAAGTGGGAGGGGGGGGTTTAAGGGTAAATAATGGTTTATCTCGATTTCCGGCAAAACTACAAGTCCTATGGAAAAAAGTTAAATGGCAAAGTTGTAGGTAATAAAAGGATTTACAACTTTTGTAGTTACAATTTTTTTACATAACCTTAAAATTTATGTAAAAAATTCAAAAAACCAAGTTTTTGGTTTTTTATCTTTTTCAAAAAAAAATTTTTTTCCACGAAATTTGGTGAAAACTTTTTATGTCCCAAATACACTGTAATTTATTTGATTTGAAATATTTATTATTTCGCCTTATTTTGACTTAATATCAAAAAAGCACCCTAATTTTCAATCGAAAATTCTCGCGTCAAAATATCAGCTTTTTTCAAAAAGTCGGTGTGCTTTTTGTTCGTTGAAATCTCTACTTTCTGATGGTGTAAAAAAAATATACATTACTATGGTAAATGTTCTCAGAAAATGCAAAAAATATTATAATGAATAACGAAAAAAACTCGAATTCGAAAATTTAATTAATCATTATGTACAATTTCATCAACAAAAGTGATTGTTGCAATTTTTTTTAGTTAAAAAGTTTATTTATTAAATTCTAATAACATTTATGTCAGAAAATCTCATAAAATATAAAAATACATGTAAATCATACTATTGAATTTAGATACTTCATTCTGATTACGTTATTCATTATAATATTTTTTGTATTTTCTGAGAACATTTACCATAGTAATGTATATTTTTTTTACACCATCAGAAAGTAGAGAGTTCATCGAACAAAAAGCACACCGACTTTTTGAAAAAAGCTGATATTTTGACGCGAGAATTTTCGATTGAAAATTAGGGTGCTTTTTTGATATTAAGTCAAAATAAGGCGAAATAATAAATATTTCAAATCAAATAAATTACAGTGTATTTGGGACATAAAAAGGTAAGTTTTCACAAAATTTTGTGGAAAAAATTTTTTTTTTGAAAAAGATAAAAATAAAAAACCAAAAACTTGGTTTTTTGAATTTTTCACATAAATTTTGAGGTTATGTGAAAAAATTGTAAATACAAAAGTTGTGGATCTTTTTATTACCTACAACTTTAACATTTAACTTTTTTCCATAGGACTTGTAGTTTTGCCGGAAATCGAGATAAACCATTTTTTACCCTTAAACCCCCCCCTCCCACTTCCCGAACTCAGATCGCCCGTAATTTATTTTTCCTTTAATTTTTATTATATTCCCCTCCTTTTCCAATGTGTTTCATCCTACTGTTATTTTTTTTCTCTATAAATTTAATCTGTCAAACTATGCTCAGTAAGTTTTTTATTTGATTTTTCTTTTTGGAAAATAGTTTCATGCAAAGTAATTAAAAATAAAACCCCTCGACCGCTACGCGGTCTCGTGATTTTATTAAATTATTTTGCATTCAACATTTTCCAACAAAAACCAAACAAAAAACTACTGAGCCTAGTTTAACCGATTAAATTCATAGTTCTCGTGATATAATATATGATTATTTCCCTCATTATAATATGAACCAATCAAAAGCCTTGAATTTTCGAATAAATTTCGTTTAAATAAGCGATTAAATTACTAGAACTATTTAACAGCGATTAAATTTTATTTACAAGTTTTAACAAGCATTTTTTAAAAAATAATAAAAAATAAGTTATCTAGTTTACGAAATATCAATTATTACTTATTACATACCATAAATTAATGGAATTTTCTTTAAAAAAATATTTATAAATTTTGACACACGTCAGATTTTATGAATTGTCAAATAGTTTCCTTTAATTCGAGAAATAATCTAGACGTATATCACTCAACCACATATTTATATAAATATGTGCACTCAACCTATAAATTTAATCTGTCAAACTATGCTCAGTAAGTTTTTTATTTGATTTTTCTTTTTGGAAAATAGTTTCATGCAAAATTATTTTGCATTCAACATTTTCCAACAAAAACCAAACAAAAAACTACTGAGCCTAGTTTAACCGATTAAATTCATAGTTCTCGTCGAGGGGTAAACCACTGATTTTTTTAAATTAAAAATCGCTTACGAATTAACGGCTAAGGATAACAATAACAATTGTTAAGGGTAGTCATGTACAACGCGTCGCTAAGCACTGATTAAGCACCGATTAAGCAAGTTTTTCTTATTGATAACGACTGATAAGGAAAAAAATCTCAACACAACGTCCACTAACATTGAACGGTTGTCTCTAAGATTTTAAAGGGGTTTACCCCTCGGTTCTCGTGATATAATATATGAGTATATTTATGTAAGGGGCCGTCCATAAATGATGGCACACGTTTTTTAATATTTTTTCACATTTTCGACGACCCCCCTCCCCCCTAAGTGTGTGACATCATTTATGGACGGCCCCTAAATGCAACTTGATTGGGTGATTTGGTATGAAATGAGCCTACATTTTTTCATCAATGGTCACATATTTTGCTTGATATTCTATTATTAAAAATAGAATACTGTAGAAAGGGTAGTAATACAGCAATGGATAAATAACAAAAACACACTAGCGCTGTCTCGTTTGTTGATTTTTTAATTCTTAAAATTGGCTTTATTGGCTATTACGATAAAAGGTAAGTAATTGTGTTTTATTTAGCGAGAAAATGTGCAGCAAAACGAGCAGTTTCAAATTTTCGAGCTCGGTATGTACTTGTAAAATTGTCTGCTCAATGACTAATAAAATTCTACTTTGGTTTGGATATAATAAATTTAAACAATGAATTATGATTTTAAAGACTTATTAAAGCTTAACAGCATATTTCACGATAATCTACGGAACTCATTTTTGGCACAACGTTGTTCAGTCATTTAATTATTTAAATTGTTCGAACAATATTTATAAGAAAAAGTTACTTTAAATCCAAAAGAAAAATATTATTAAGTTAATGTTTGTTTTTAGTTAAAACTTTAAAGAATAAAGCAAAGCAAAGGTTTGTTTAGTAGATTTATTTTTAATAATCTACGAAGGCACTGAACGGACAAGCGTATTTTTTTCTGGTAATTGCGGCTTTTCTCTGGCAATTGCAACTTTTTTCTGGCAATTGCGACTTTTTCCTGGCAATTGCCGATTTCGTCCAAGTGGATTTTCAAGATTTATTTTATGGCTAAAAGCTTCAACCAACACCCATGATCTAACTATTATTAAGGTTCTTGAAGGTTCTCCGCATACAGTTCGTTCTGACAGACATAACACTGTAAATTAAAATGCATTAGCCTGCTTTTTTTAGGGCACTAGACCAGCCAATCAAAGCATAGAGTCCTGGTGGTAAATCTTGAGAAAACATAAAAAACAGTTTTGGATCAATTTATTTAAACTAGTGTACGATAGACAGTTGGAATGGAATAATTATGTACAAAACTTTAATACAGTTTTGTTTCTTAAAAACGATACATGTAAGTACATTACTTACAACTTATACCTAGTACCTAAACTGCCGAATCAGAATAAAAAAGTTTAACTTGTACCGCTAACTCGGACGTTTTTGCAATTCTGTGCCGCAATATATCGTCTCACGCCTTTACTCTATCTTACTCTTACTTATCTTACTCTTACTCTTCCATATTAAATGTACTAGGTAGTTGTAGGTATAACTGCGCCTTTGCTCGCGTGGTAAAATAATTTAAAAAAATGATGAAAATCCGTTGAGGCGTTAATTATTAAAAAAAATGGCGAATGTGCCAAGACTGGCATTTCAAATATTATTTTTTAAATTGTCCCATTGTGCGAATTTTTCCCACCTGTCCCCGGGTGTCAAACTTTATCGGTACCAAATTCCATCAAAATCGGTTCAGCAGTTTACGGGTGAAAGCCGTTTGTCTATATTACACCCTTTGGGGTTGATTTTTGAAAAAAAAAGTAGACTATTTCCGTCCCCGGTTGTCAAACTCTTTGAACCAAATTTCATCAAAATCGGTCAAGCAGTTCAGGCGGAAAAGCCCTTTGTCCATTAGCCCTTAGGGGTGGATTTTTGAAAAAAAGTAGCCTATAACCTTTCCCGGAAATAAAAAAAACTGTACACATTTTTACATCTTTCCGTGTGATGCTCACACACAGACATTTATACAGGGCGCGCCAAGTATCCTTCTATATATATGTATATGGGTATCTTTTTTATTTGAAGAGCTACAAGGTCGGTTAAATTAAACAAAAGGAGAAAAAAAGGATATTAATAATTATAGGCCAATATCTTTGCTACCAATATTTTCAAAAATAGTAGAATTAACAATATCTTCTCGGCTTATAAATTATTGTAGTAA